AGTAACCAATCAAATGCATATTATCAAATTTAATTGAAGTGTGAAATTCTGAAATTGACTTGTAGTCACCCTGTGGCTATGATCAAAAGTCACATGACTTAAACTCCCACTACCACATAGCCAGAGGGTCCAAGTTCAAGAACCAAAGCTGTACTCTATTTTAACTTTCATCCATGTACCTATCCCAATCATAGTCTTTTCCCTGCTTCTATAATGCCATCTTTGACACTGATGGACAGAAATGCCACCAATCATAATCTTCTCTATCACATGCACATATATAATGAACACCATGGCTGCCATCTTCCATTATCCTCTGTACTATGTTCATAAAGAGTTCCCCTCATCCAAATGATTATATTGGCTTTGGCTTTGTCCTGTTGATGACTAAATAAACAGCTGTTTCGTTGTTATTGTTAAGTGCTGTCAAGTTGGTTCCAACCCATAGCATCCCTGTATAGGGTTTCCGAGGAGTAGCTGGTGAGCTCAAACGACTGACCTTGCGTTTCAAACTGACTTTGCTGTCCAGTGCATTAACCCACAGCACCACACCAAAACTCCAAATAAACAGCTGTAAACATCCAATAATAACTGGGACACAGAATGTATGAAGCATCAATCTACAACAATTGGAAATTGTCAAAAATTAAATGGAAAACATAAATACTGATATCATGGGCATTAGTGAGCTGAAATGTAGAGGTATTGGTCATTTTGAGTCAGACACTCATATGGTTTACTATGCCCAGAATGACAAATTGACAACGAATGATATCACATTCATCATTAAAAAGAACATCTCAAGATCCATCTTGAAGTATAATGTCTGTAATAGGATAATATCCATATGCTTACAAGTAAGACCAGTTAATGTCACTATTAGTCATATTTATGCACCAACCACTAATGCCAGTGCTGATGAAGTTGAAGAGTTCTACCAATTTCTTCAGTCTAAAATTTATCAAATATGCAATCAAGGTGCATTGACAATTATTAGTGATTAAAATGCAAAGATTGGAAATAAACTAGAAGAATCAGTAATTGGAAAATATGGTCTTGGTGATATAAATGATGCTGGGTATCACATGACAGAATTTTGCAAGATCAAGGACTTCTTCATTGCAAATATCTATTTTAAACAACATAAAAGACATGTGGACTTTATCAGATGGAATATACAGAAATCAAACTGACTACATCTGTGGGAAGACACGGTGAAAAAACTCCTTATCATCAACAGAGAAGGCCAGGAGCAGACTATAGAACAGACCATCAACTGCTCATACGCAAGTTCAGGCTAAAGCTGAAGAAATTTAAAACAAGTCTATAGGAGCCAAAATTTGACCTTGAATATATCTCACCTGAATTCAGAAATCATCTCAAGAACAGATTTAATGCATTAGACACTAAAGACTGAAGACCAGAAAAGTTGTGGGATGACATTAAGAACATAATTCAAGAAGAGAGCAAAAAATTGAAGAAGACAAGAAAGAAGAACAATTAAAAAAAAGGGATGTCAGTAGAGATTCTGAAACTTGCTCTCCAGAGTACAGATGCCAAAGCAAATGGAAGAAATGAGGTGGTAAAAGAGCTAAACATAAAATTTCAAAGGGAAGCTCCAAAAGACAAAGTCAAATACTAAAATGAAATGTGCAAAGACCTGGAGTTAGAAAACCAAAACAGAAGAACACGCTCAGCATTTCCTAAGCTGAAAGTGCTGAAGAAAAATTCAAGCTTTAGTTTGCAATATTGAAGGATTCTAGTGGTTACGAATCGGGCCGCAAACCTCAAGGTCAGCAATTCAAAACTACCAGCTGTTCCGTGGAGAAAGATGAGGCTTTCTGATCCTGTAAAGATTTACAGCCTTGGAAACCCTGTACAGAGTCACTATGAGTCAGAACTGACTCCACGGCACACAACAACGATGGTCAAAATATTGTATGATGCAGAATGTATCAAAAGAAGATGGAAGGAATACACAAAGGTACAAAAAAGAAATGGTTGCTGTTCAACCACTTCAAGAGGTTGTTGTTTGTTGTTCAGTGCCATCGAGTCGGTTCCGACCCATAGCAACCCTGTAGAGGGTTTCCGAGGAGTGGCTGGTGAGCTTGAACCGCTGACCTTGCAGTTCAAACGGCTTTGCAATCTGGCGCATTAACCCACAGCATCACACCAGGTAGCATATGATTAAGAGCCAATGGTACTGAAGGAAGAAGTCCCAGGAGCACTGAAGGCAATGGCAAGGAACAAGGCTCCAGGAACTGATGGAATACAAATTGAAATCTTTCAACAAACTGATGCAGCACTAGACGCACTCTCTAATCTATGCCAAGAAATCTGGAAAGAGAGCTACCTGATAAGTTTTTGAAGAGATACATATTTGTGCCCATTTGAAAGAGGAGTGACCCAATGGAATGTAGAAATCATTGGACAATATCTTTAATATTACATTCAAGTAAAATTTTGCTAAAGATAATTTAAAAAATAGTTACAACAGTGCATTGACAGGGAATCTCCAGAGGTTCAAGCCACATTCAGATGAGGATATGGAATGAGGGATTATCACTGCCAACATCAGATGGATCCCTTGACTGACAGCAGTAAATACAAGATGTTTACCCAGGCTTTAATTCACTATGCAAAAATTTCTACTGTGTTGATCATGAAAATCTATAGATAACATTGTGGAAAATGAGTATTCCAGAACACTTAATTGTGCTCATGAGGAATCTGTATATAAAAATCAAGAGGCAATTACTCAAACAGAACAATGGAACACTGAATTGTCTAAAATTAGGGAAGGTATGCACCAGTGTTGTATTCTATCACCTTACTTATTCAACCTGTACACTGAGCAAATAATCCGAGAAACTGGATTATTTGAAGAAGAATGTGACATTAGGATTAGAGGAAGACTCACTAGCAACCAGTGATATGCAGATGATACCAGCTAGCTCGTTGAAAGCAAAGAGGACCTAAAATAATAGCTTATGAAATGAAGATCAAAGACCAAAGCTGTTGGTCTCAATGTGAAACAAATCCTTACCACTAGACCAATAAATAACATCATGATAAATAGAGAAAAGAAAGGACGCTGTCAATGACTTCATTTTGTTTGGATTCACTATCTACAGTCACGGAAACAGCAGTCAGGAAATTAAATGATGTATTGCATTAGGCAAATCTGCTACACAAGACCTCTTCAGATTTTGTTAAAAAGTAAAGATGTCAGTTTGAGGATTAAGGTGCACATGACCCAATCCATGTTATTTTCAATAGCTTTATAAGCATGTCAAAGTTGATCGATGAATAAGAAAGACTGTCAAATGAATCGATTCATTTGAGTTATGGTGTTGGAAAAGAATATTAAAAGTATCGTGGGCTGCTAGAAGAACAAACAAATCTGTGTTGGAAGAAGTACAACCAAAATGCTCCTTAGAAGCCAGGATTGTGAGACATCATCTCTTATAATTCTAACATATTATCAGGAGGGATCAGTCCCTGGAGAAGGACATCATGCTAGGAAAAGCAGAGGGTCAGCAAAAAAGAGGAAGACCCCCAATGAGCTCAGGTTTCACAATGATAGTGAGGATGGCACAAGACTGGGCAGTGTTTTGTTCTGTTGTGGATAAAGTTGCTATGAGTCATAACCAACTCAACAGCACCTAACAAAAACAAATAATATGTTTGAATCTGGGGTCTTTTTCCCCTACCATAAGTTAAAAAACAAAATGAAGTGCTATTTTTCCTATTATTATTCTATCTTTACCATCTACGGTAGTCTTTCCTAGTGAACAAAATCTCTAATAGCCTATAGACTCTTCTCACAAGAAATAATTACTAAGGACTTACATAGTCCACTATCATCACTATGTGACTAGATACTTAGCTGTGAGGCCCCTGATTTTATAATTCCTTACCTTTTTGTTGTTGTTAGATGCCATCGAGTCGGTACCGACTCATAGCGGCCTTATGCACAGCAGAACGAAACACTGCCAGATCCTGGGCCAACAGACCAAGTAAATATATATAGGTAGAGTCTCATAAATTCATGAGGTACTCCCTTCTATAATTCTGAACTTTCCCATATTCCACTCTTCTCCCCTTCCCATCCCATTCCCCAAGCATCTGGTTATAAACAAAGATTAGAACACTAAATCACTTAAACATGTATAAACAGGCGACTAGGATGAGAAAATTCATACCAAGATTAACTAACTAGCAAGTATTTACAAAGATGTTTTGTCCTTATTACTTTTCAAAGTAAGACATATTTTAAATGCATATAATTATATTGTGCATAGATACAGCTTGATAACCAAACACTAATAAGGTTGTACAAATTTGAAACAATTTGGCAATTTAATCAATAATTTTTAAATGCTTATATCCTTTAACCTAGTATTTGCATTGTAGAACCTTCATCCTAAGGAAATAATTTTAAAAGTGGTGTTCACACAAAGATGTCATTGAAAATGTCTTTTTTAACTACATAAAAAGTTTTTAAAAAAAGAGCACTTACATAAAATTACATTATATCCACTCAATAATATGTTGCCATTAAGAAGATACTTAAGTTGATTATATAATAATATGGCAAATTATGATAAGTAGAGGGGGAAAGCAGGATATAAAATTATACATGCTGAAAGATTATAAGCATGTTTAAAAAGAAAGACTAAAGAGAAATATACCAAAATATTAGAAAGAGAAAAAGGGATGATATTTTTTCTGTCTTATCTTTAAGGAATTTAAAAAGTTTTTCCATGGTATAAATGTATTATTTCTGAAAATGAAAAGTTTTAATTAAAAACATCTTGCCAATTCCTTGCCTACCACTTCATTTTCCTATGTCTCTCAGTCCATTTTCCTCCCAACTTTGCCAAAAAAAAAAAAGCTTCTAAAGTTACTATTATTAATCTGGAGGGGCATGTTCTTACTTTTTCCATTGGTTCACTTTTATAAACAGGACCCTAAAGAAGGGAATAGACATGTTTTACCTTATTTCCTTCTTCTTTGAATTGTGGATTAATTATTTTTACAAAAGAATAGAACAACTGACGAATTCTGGAATCTCCAATGAATGCAATGTGTTTATCTATGAGGCAGCTCTTTGCTTCACTGAAACCAATAAAGAAACCTTAATTAAAATAAATAAAATCACCTTAGTAGCATTTCAAAAAACTTACATAGTTTGTGAAGATAGTTGCTCAGAACTGTCATTCTGGATTGTTATTTTGGAAGACAATTCAATACATCACAGTAGGTAAAGGGAAACCAGTTATGCTGCTTTAGAAACAGGTGGTCAGGTTTACTTAACCTAACAGTCACTGAATTACTTGCTCAATAATAAAACCCTAGTGTATTTATTGTTTAAGATGCACTCTAACTATGATTTATACCCACTACCTCATTTAATCCTCAGAGCAAGAGTCTTGGTTTAAGGGCCTAAGGACCATGGTAATTCTGTAGGATAAGCACTGCACTGTCATCCACAAAGTCTGTGGTTCAAGCCCCCGTTCGCTCTGCGGGTGAAAAATGATGCTTTCTGCTCCTGCAAAGATTCACATTCTCAGAAACCTCTTACAGGGATGCTACGAGTCAGAACCAACTCATGGCATTTAACAATTTTTGGCATGGTTACCTTTCACCAGAGTTAAAGTAGCTTGGTCAAAACTCTTTCCACAAAGCTTTTGGGTAGAAGTCGTCATCTAGAATCAGTCCCAACTCTCTTAGTAGGTAAGTTCCTGACCCCATCTACAGAAGTAAATTACTCTCAGTGCTTCACCAACTCCTGCTGTTATTATCCTCCATTGATGTGAGTGGCTTTGCACTCATGGTAACCCCACTGAGCAGAGTAGAGTGGTTCCATAGTGTTCTGAAGGCTGTGACCTTCCAGAAGCAGATTGTCAGGCCTGCTTTCCAAGGTGTGTCTGGGTGGGTTTGAACTGACAACCTTTCAACTAGTAATCCAGTGTTTGGCCATCCGAGTTAACCCCTAGATATTATGCTTCAAACTAGAAAGAGAAAAATAAACAGAAACCGTACCTGATTTTATATTTATGCATCATACAACTGTGAGGTTGCCAAACTTTTTCTCCAAGAAATCTGCCACTTGAGAGAAGGTACTCACAAGAATCATTGCCTGTAATAAACACAAAAGTGTAGTAAATAATATTTTAATTTTTCTGTTAGCTATCCTGACCCCAGAAGCCCTTGATGGTGCAGTGGTTAAGCAGTCAACTGCTTATGAAAAGATCAGCAGTTTGAATCCACCAGCTGCTCTATGGGAAAAAGGTGTGGCAGTCTGCTTCTGTAAAGATTATTAAGTGCCATCGAGTCGGTTCTGACTCATAACGACCCTGTATAGGGTTTCCGAGTTAACAGGTGTTGAGTTTGAAGCACTGACATTAGAGTCCAGCGCTTACCCTATAGTGCCACACCAGGAGATTACAACCCTGGAAACCCTATTGGACAGGTTCTACTTTGTCCTAGAGGACCACTATGAGTTGGAATAGACTTAATGGCGATGTATTTATCTTGACCCCACATAAGTTCCTTGAGAACAGATAATACAAAAGTTTTCTATGCTGCACTAAGCCTTTCATGTGTATGTTACCTATTCATGAAAAACCTAGGGTAATAGTTAAGGTTTTTATATCTACTGGGCTAAACCTGAATTCTCAGTGGCTTGGCACTTAAAACATAATAATCAAACATGATGAGATCTAATAAATGTAATCATCTCCCCTATAATTCAATCTGATGTGATTATCCTATGTATTGTACATCATCACTTCTATGATGTGAATGAGGCCAGATGCAACCTACAGGATTAAGCTGTATCTTGAGTCAATCTCTTTTGAAATGACAAGCAGAGTTCAGGGGGACCTATTACTACCAACAAAGAAGATCCAGGAGTAGAATACATTCATTCATTCGACTTGGGCCCCTGCCTTGTGAAATTCCTAGATCTAGGAAAAGACTAATGCCAACTAAGATGCATAGAAATCTCCAAGGAATGTTGGGCCTACAAATGGTGAAAGGAGACAAAGACCTTTCTACAGAGCTGGCACTCTGAATTTGGACTTCAAACCTCCTAAACTCTGAGAGAATAAATGTGTCTACTAAGCAATCCACTTGTGGTATTTCTATTACAGCAACACTAGATAACTGAGATACATATCAAGCCATTAATATTTAAGAAGACAAGGGGTCAGTTATAGTATATACTTTGCCCTCTAATAGTCTCCTAATTACTAGATGCCATGCTCAACACTTTAGTACTTTCTTCTGCCTCCGATTTTATTTCTAGGAGGTTTCCTCAACCTCAAATCAGCTTTATCTTATGTTTATCCCTCTTACTTCTACTTTGGAGTGAGAGGTTAAAGGATAAAACCAAAAACCAAAACCACTATCATCAAGTTGATTCCAACTCATAATGAGATTATATGAAGTTTCTGAAACTATAAATCTTTTATGTGAGCAGACAAACTCATATTTTCTTGACAAGTGGATGGTAGGTTTGAACAGCAGAACTTGTGGTTAACTTCCTGTACTGTGAGGTACACTCGAGTGGTCATTCTTGATGGCATGAAAGCAAGACCAAGGCACCAAACATACACTTTTTATGAAGAAACAGAAAAGGTTTATTCCAAAGCAGAGTTAGGCATCAAATACAGTAAACTGCAAAGGGAGAAAAGGGATATTTTACAAGCTCACCAGACCAAGGAGAGTGAGCGCTAGGGGAGCTTTAGGCATTAGACTGGAGACTTGGTCAGAACACCAATCCCAAGTAATGTGTCCAATCCACGGGTAGAATCCCAAGTCCCGGCCCAAGGATCCCCACTCTTTATTCTCCCGCAAAGATTGTACATTCATTCCCTTTTGAGAGACGTCAGGCAGGCCAGCCTGTCTGACATGGCTTCTAGGTTGCTTTCTTGTTTCACTTCACTAAAGTTCACGGTTATACATTAACCATTCCGGGTATCAAAGAAGCAGAACGCATTATTTTGGTGATTACATCAATTTCTGTTTCCAGGTTGTTTCTGATGCTCTGTCTGGCATTGCTGCCCCCTGGGAACATGCACCTATACTAAAGATCAGAAGATGTGCATAACAATAGGAGCTCTATCTCAGAGGATTTTTTAATTTAGTTGCTGTTCATTTACAGCCCAATGACTAACCCACAGCACTACCAAGAATAAAAGGAAAGGCATTTTTCGAAATGTCTCCCTATTCAGATATTATGATAGTACATCAGCTTATCTGGAGACAAAGTAAAATTAAAATATTGCATAAAAAGAGGAAGATCCCACAATGAGATGGACAGACACAATGGCAGGAGCTATGGGCTCAAACATAACAATTGTGAGGACGACACAGAACCTATCACTGTTTCCTACTTGTTGTGCATAGGGTCACCATGAGCTGGAAGTGACTAGATATGCCTAAGAACAACATATTAACTTGCTAAAAGCTTATTAAATTTCACCCTTTGACAATCTTACTAAGATAACACTGAAGTCAGTTTGTCACAAAAAGGCTGTAAACAGGATCAGTATCAATAATAAAGGCAGAATTCACAGCTCTTAATTCTCTGCTTCTCTTGGTTATCTCTTATCTTCCTTTAGGATGAGCAACTCATCCCAGTTTGGTCAAGATTCTCACCATTTTAAAATGGAAAGTTCTTTTTCCAAAAAATTCTCAGTAAGATGGGTTAAGTGGTCACCTTACTTCCTTTGGACATTTTACTGTTCCAACTCCATGCACAACAGAACACTGCCCAGTCCTACTTGGTCCTCACAATCGGTAGGTTTAAGTCATTCTATCTTGTGAAATAAGTCAATCCCAAAAGGACCAATGTTATATGAGACCACTGTTATAAACAAAAAAGAAAAGGTTTGTTATTGCTATTATTCGGTGCCAGTTTCAACTCATAACCACCCTATGTTTTATGTCGTTTTAGGGTGCCATTAAGTCAGCACTGACTCTTAGCAATCCTATGCAAAATAGAACAGAACAGTGCCTGATCCTGGGCCAACCTACATATGAACCTATAGATGCCGCCACTGTGCCAGTCCATCTCATTGGGCGTCTCTCTCTTTGTCTCCGACCCTCCACTTTACAAAACATATCCTTCTCCAGTGACTGGTCCCTCCTGACAATGTGTCCTAAGTATGAAAGCTGGAAGTCTGGCCATCCTGGCTTTCAAGAAGCACTCTGGCTGTACTTCTAACACAGACTGGTTTGTTCTTTTGGCAGTCCACGGTACTTTTGATATATTCCAAAACTCAAATGCATCAATTCTGCTACAGTCTTCCTTATTCACTTCACTACCCAACTTTTGCAATGCATATGAGGTTATTTAAAAATACCATGGCTTAAGTCAGGAACACCTTAGTCCTCAAACTGACATCTTAGATCTTCAACACTTCAAAGAGGTCTTGTGCAGCAGATTTGCCCAATACAATAGTCGTTTTATTTCCTGACTGCTGCTTCCATTAGTATTGATGGTTGATGCAATCAAAATGACGTCACTGACAGCTTCAATCTTTTCTCCATTTATATGGATATTGTCCAATGGTGAGGATTTTTGTTTTCTTTACACTGAGGTACAATCCATACCAAAGGCTGTGGTCTTTGATCTTCATTAATAAATATTTTAAATCCTCTTGGCTTTCGGCAAGCAAGGTAGTATCATCTGCAGATCGCAGGCTGTTAATGAACCTTCCTCCAATCCTGACGCTGCATTTTTCTTCACATAATCCAGCTTCTCTGATTATTAGTTTAGCAGACAGAGTTAAGTATGGTGAAAGAATACAACCCTAGTGTACACCGTTCCTAATTTTAAACCATCCTTGCTCTGTTTGAACAACTGCGTCTTGGTTTATGTACAGGTTCCTCACGAGCATAATTAAGTGTTCCACAATACTCATACTTTGCAATGCTGTCCACAGCCTGTCATGATCCACACAATCGAAAGCCTCTGCATAGTCAATAAAGCACAGGCAAACATCTTTCTGGTATTCTGTACTTTCAGCCAAGATCCATCTAATGTCAGCAATGATAGCCCTCGTTCCATATCCTTTCCTGAATGCAGCTTGAAACTCTGCAAGTTCGCTGTCCATGTGTGGTTCTGTTGATGTATGGTTGCAACTGTTTCTATATTACCTTTAGTAAAACTTTACTCGCATGGGATATCAATGATATTGTTTGAAGATTTCCTCATTCCGTTGGGTCACCTCTTTGGAATGGGCACAAACAGGGATCTCTTCCAGTCAGTTGGCCAGGTAGTTACCCTATGAGGAAATAACAAAAAACTGTGCAGTCCTGCACTATCCTATTATTGTTATGTTTTAGCCCATTGTTGGTACCAAGCTGTGCCAATGATAGTGAAATCTTGGAAAGTTAAGAGGGCAAAAAATTCCTTAAAGTAAAATCGTATTGGTATTCATTCTTATTCTATACAGCTGATTCAAAGGAATTGTTGGTAAGGGATGGAATGCATGTGTCTTGAGTGCATCAATTCATCTTGTTGGGGGTCTTCCTCATTTATGCTGACCCTCTACTTTTTCAAGTATGATGCCCTTCTCCAAAGACTGATCCCTCCAGGCAACATCTGCAAAGAATGAGAGATGACATCTCACCCTCTTCACTTATAAGGAGCAATCTACCAAGACAGATTTGTTTGTTCTTCTGGTAGTCCATGGGACTTTCAATATTCTTCTCCAACATCATGATTCAAATTCTTCTATTCTTTTCCTTATTAAATATCTGAAAATACCATGGCTTGAGTCAGGTACACCTTTGTCATTAAACTGATCTCTGAGCTCTCTGAACACTTTCATAGCACATTTGTTTAATGCTATGTATCCTGCAATTTTGTGACTGCTTTCTTCAGCGTTGTGTATCTAAGCAATATGAAGTCTTTAGCAACTTCCAATATTTTCTCCATTTATCAAAAGGTTATTTACTGATCCAGTTGTGAGGATTTTTTTCTTTACATTAAGGTACATTCTATACTGAAGGCCTTTGATCTTCATAAGTATTTCAATTCCTCTTTGCTTCCTGCAAGCATAGTTATCATCTGTATAGTGCCAGTTATTAATGAGTCTTCTTTCAATTCTGATGCCATGTTCTTCT